TAGATGATCGGATTAAGAGATGAAAACTCAATTGTAGAATGACCATTCTAGGCTTGGAAGCAAAGATGCACCTCCTCTTTCAAAATGGGGGCAAATCTGGTACAAAGTGAGGCTTCACTTTTTCCAGTATGGGAAATAGTGACGAATGTCTTAGCTTGTCAATTCGCCCAAGCGCCTGAGACTTGATGTCGAAACACATCCTTACATGAATTCCAAGAGCTTTGGAATGTGCAGGCCAACTCGACTAACGAGCATTTTCTTACGGCACTCGAGAAGTGTATTTTGAGTCAATGAGCAACCATTGAAGGAACTATTGGTCTGATTTATGCTGTACGCTGTGGATGAGAATACGCTGTTGGGCTACAAATCACAATGAAACACAACGACAGTCTGAAGCCTCCTCATCACCCTTTTTCACTTAGAGACTAGACGTGAAAGCCTCGATGAACTCCCAATTCTACTCAGGGGTGATCCGTCTAGCCGTTTAAGCTGAATTAGATCAGCAAACTACTGATCGATCTCCAAGCGAGGTAGGATGCTCTTTTACCAACTTTTGTAGTACGCCATTATTCGGAAGGCCATCAACAGTTACCTGTAGTGAAGATGAGGAGCAAATCACAACTTTTCTTGATAAATGCAGCCTGACTAAGAGTCAGGTGAAAGATGATTGGCCTAAAGAGTGTGTTTCACACAAAAGATGCATTCAACAGTCGCGATAAAACTCCACGGGGAGGGCAATTACCAGAGTGACCAGAGCCAGAGTCACTGTGCTCACCTGCATAAAGAATGTCAACATGCTCCAAAATAGATGCGGACACGTTGAGGATCGTGTTCCCCTCACTGCCTGCCAACACTTCGGGAAGACTGAGTTCTCGAGTGGTGGAGTTAAAGAAGTCCAGACCGCGCCAATGTCGAGAGAAGTCAGGCGGTTTGGTAAGATCAACGGTGGAAGGGGTCCGCGACCAGTTTCCAACTCCACTCGTATGAATTGAGCCCCAGCAAGTCAGACCAACACGATCTTGGAGATCTGAGCATTTTAATAGAAATCGGCCAAAATCAATTCGTGATGAGAAATAGTGCATGATGAAGTTGGCACAACAACGGATTCCGTAGAATCCGTCGCGACGACTTATTAGAAACATTCACAGCAAAAAATATAGTTAACTACCTCCAAATTAAGCCGTAAAGGCGTAAGGTCACCAGGAACTGGGTTTTTGAGGACTCTTTATGGTATAGGATTTGGATGGATTTCCGTTGAAAGGAATGTAACTTTGAATAATATAGATAAGCGATGAAAAATAAAAGATGCATGGATTAGTTTCATCAGCATTCGTTTGTCTGCAATTGGACATACTGGTTGGCGCCGTCCTAGAGACAGCCTCTTTCGGTTTCTGCGAAAATGAGCTTGGCGTTCGTATTCCCCTACAGTTGATAGGCATTCCCAAGAGCAGAGTGCCACTTAGTCAACTAAATCAAACAATGAGTCAAGTGAATTCCCTGGATTATTCCCACACGCTTTATACACACTCTTATCCAATGAATATCCGTATTATATGAAGTAATTTGGCTCGAATTTGTCATATGAACTTATCTTAACATGTAAATGGGGGTACTTGTGTGTGTGTGTGTGTGTGTGCGCGCATGATATTGGAAGATAATTTATGGGCACAAAAGCAAATTATAGCTCAACGGTCACTAAGGGTGAATGGCCCTTTTATAAATAATCACTTTGGGTAGAATCTGGCATATAGAAAGTGTGAGTTGCCCTAAAATCATAAACAAAATAGACTAACTATATCTCCTCCATGTTTATAAGTGGCTCTACATACTCTTTAACGTTAATCCAATTGAGTAGAAATAGTGCTTGCTTAACTCCCCTCTTTGATGCCTGGCATTTATTGTATTTCATAATCTTTAATAATTTTGCACTCCGCTAATAAGGCCTAAAAAGATCCGCGATCGTCTTCTTGTGAGATCGTCCTACTAAACTCTTCACTCCACATAGAATTGGACCCCCTAATTGTATGCCAAAAGATGCCCAGAAATACAAGTTTTCTTTGTGTATACTAAAAAGACGTTGATAATGATTATTTAATGGCAGGCAGACAGGTCGCGATTAGTACGAGTAATTCGTCAGGTTAAAATTTCAGTTTATTTAAAATCGTACCATTCGAAGCGATTACAAAAAATTAGGTAAGTTAATTGGTTCCATTACATAAAAATAAAAAATAGTACAATTTCTCTTCCGTTTCATAATCCAAAATAATAGCAAGAGATAATCAGAGGGTATTAAAAAGCTAAGGTTTTTTATAGGCAGGGCAAGACAGTACAGAAAGCATCATTACCTGTTACTTAAGAAGTCGCCTGTGCGAAAGTTCTTCTCAAGTATTGTTGCGATTATTCCTTGATTCATGGACTGTAAAAATATCGCTTTTACATTATCACGCAAATCTATCGTTGTAAAACTTTTATTATTAGGGGTGGATTATAAACCTCATCAAGTTGAGGCTACTTCACATTTTCACCTTATTTCATCTGCTTATTTTAAACTATATTCAGTGCCTCGTTGTCGCAACCATACCGGAGGCCACACTATCTTGATCTTCATATCCTCGGTTGTATTCCGTACCGTTTATTCATGCATTACACAAACTTTGCCAATTTTCTAATTGCTATTACCACATTTGTGACTTTTTGTTGCACAACATTTTTTTTCTGATGCCATCACTAAAAGCTTCGTTTTTCACCTATACTATTCACTGTGTTCATAATTGATAAAGTCCTGCTACAGACTTGTTAATATGCTTTACTGTACTTATCAAACTGGATGGCGGGCTTAAAGAGCCAAGGTCGAACGATAGTTGATACGTCTGCTCTGCGTCCCTGTAATCTTTAAAACTCCCAGCAGAATTTAGCCTCGTATAACGTGCGATCTGGTGTCAATTTGTAATTAGTACTAAGTCGAATTGCGCTCTATTCTGACTCGTATTAATCTCGATCTACTCGTATTCTCAAAAAGCTGTAAATCCTTTCATGTTTTGATCGAAGATATGAAGACCAAGATGGTGTGGCCTTTTGTGTGGTCGCAGTCTCCTTTCGTTGTATA